TGAAAACAGAAAACTCACTCACTCTCTCTAAATTTATAAATGGCATAAAGAGCACATCTCTCCTTTCCCTCATGAAGTTTCCGCACCTAGTCACAGGGCCTGGCCTTTCTCACAGAACCTGCTTCTTTTTCTTCCACACACGTATTCCCCGACAGTCTGGGAGGTGGGCAGTATAGGGTTGTCTGGTGGGGATCCAGCCTGGAAGAGAGGGATACATTTGCACAGCATTCTCTGGACCTGCTCCTGAGTAGGGCTCCAACCTCCATAGCCCACTCAGGGGCCTGCCACAGAAGGCAGGCTGTGTAAGCTCACACTGGATCATCACACCTGGCCCTGCCACTGCCCACTGGAGGCCTCAGCAGAGCCCCTGTACATTTTTAAGCCTCAGTTTCCCATCTGCAGCTGGACTCCCACTCCCATAGTGCTGGGGGCCAAATAGGATGTGGCACAGTGCTTGGCCATTGCTGCACTTCTGAAGAATCCCCCTTCACCCCTTCCTGGGGAGGTGGAGGCGAAACTAGGTTACTGATGAAAGGGATCAAAGGGCGGAGGGAATGCAGCTGTGTCATTCTAGGCCAGCTTTCCCCAAGAATATCATCAAAAGCCCTAAATGAGTCAAGCAAGCACAAAACCAGACGTCCATCTGGGTCCCATTTGGGACTGGCCTAAGGACAGCACCCTCATGGATGCAGCCTCTGCCTGCCACCCTCTGGAGTGGTAGCTCCTTTGGGTCTCCCTGAGTTAACCCTGTGCCCAGAGGTCCCCACCCCCTGATGCCCACACCCTAGGTTCCTCCCTTAGGTATGGCCACACTTAGCAACTTGCTTCTAATGGAATACAGGAGAAGCCATGGGCACTCAAATTGTGGCCTCTGCCTTGGGCTGTGGTCTCTGGGCAGCCCTATGAAGAGACCCCCTAACCAGGGTGGATGAAAGTGAGATGAAAGGCCTATCCCACCCTTTACTGAGTCTCCTGCCCTGTCCTGTACCACAGCCACATTGATCAGCTATGCCATGCCCTATTTCCTTACCCACAGGAACTGAGAGATGGTGATTGTTTAGCCACATTTTAGGGAAGTTGATAATGAAACAATAGCTGAGTAACACACCCCTACAGTTGCTTCTGCCCTGGAAGTGAGGTTAGGTCCCTCCAGGGCCACCCCTCCTCCTCCCCTGCCTTGCTCTGGCCACACCTCCCTCTGTGAGAACCCTGCTCTCAGAGAGAGCCCCCTTCCTGGCCCTCTGTGTACAGATGCCTACACTCTCCCACATTGTTTCCCTTGAAGCCTGATGCCCACACCTGATGAGGGGTGTATGTTCAGGGTTTCTGCCTACGTGGCTGCAGTGTAGGTTGGGTGTACCCTGGGGGAGCTCCTCCAAGGCTTGTCTGCGCAGTGAAGGGACAGGTGGGTGGCAGTGCCAGGGTGTGGAGGGTGCAGAGCATTACAGAAAATACTTGCCAGGATGCTGCTGGTCACCAGTCAGGACTCTCACAGGCACCGTGGTTCCCAAGGCCCTGCTCACCTGGGGCTCAAACCACATCACCCGAGTCCTGGACATCACAGAAGCTTCGTGGGGCATGTAGGCAGGAATGTTTCATTGCCCTCAAAACTGACCATTTGAAAGCTCCTAAATGGAAAACCATGGAGTTAGGGGTGGCTGCATCAATCCACTAGTCTCTTAAGTAAATCCTCTGACTGGGGGGGCTGGGCTTTATCCATCTGATGTAATATTATCAATAAAACTATCCAGCAACTAGTGAGCAGTGACTGTGAGCAGGGCATAAGCCCTACACCCTAGTGTGATCATCGTATTTGGCCCCCAGCACTATGGGATTGGGAATCCAGTCCATCTCACCTGCAGACAGACACTGCTAAGGGGTCTTCTTTAGCACGTGCCAGGCTCTGAGTATTGGAGACACCTTTTTTTTTTTTTTTTTGAGACAGAGTCTCAAGCTATCACCCTGGGTAGAGTGCTGGCGTCGTAGCTCACAGCAACCTCAAACTCTTGGGCTTAAGGAATCCTTTTGCCTCAGCCTCCCAGATAGCTGGGACTACAGGCGCCTGCCATAACGATGGGCTACTTTTTAGAGATAGTATTGTTCTGGCTTAGGCTGGTCTCGAACCTATGAACGCAGGCAATTCACCATTTTTGGCCTCCCACAATGCTATGATTACAGGCATGAACCACTGCACCTGGCCATTATCACATATTTTGACAGAGAACAGGTGTTACTATTTCTTGCAGGACAATAATGAATATATGGGGGGGGGAGTGTCTCATTTCCTGTGTCTGACCCAGTGAGGCTGTCCTCCGTGTTTGGGGGCAGTTTTCAGATGACATCAAGGCCTTTGGCTGGGTTTGGTCTGGTGCCTGCCAGCCCCAGCGCACCCTCACCAATCCTCTCACCCTTGTCTGCACAATACTGTGCCTTTTCTGCACAGAGGTGGCTGGTGACCCAGAATGTGGTCAGCCTCCCAGCTTTGCACTGATGCCGGGATGGCAGGGAAGACGGGGCCGAGTGGGCTGCATCTCTCCCTGCCCCTCAACTCCATGTCCTGCAAAAAAGGGGACTCTCCTTCCAGCCTCCAGTCCCAAACTAGTGCAGTGCCTGGTATACACCCCTCACTGTCCTAGGGGTGTGAGCTGAGGCTGAGTCTCAGCAGGAGCGGCCTGGGGCCCACCCACACCAGGTTCCAAAGGCCTGGCTCTGTGGGAGAGGGTCCCTCTGGCCCTCAGCATCATTCTGAGCTGTCCCCATCTTCCCAGATCTCCCCCGACACCTGGCACAAGAAGTGGCTTGGAAGAGGAGGTATTGGCAGAGACACAAACCCCTCCCAGGCCACAAAACACTTCCTTTTTTTAGGTT